ACCAGGCTGTCCTGGAATTCACAGAAATCTGCCTGCCTCTGCCTCCCGAGTGCTGAGATTAAAGACGTGCACCAACACTCCTGGCCCAACAAAACCTTTTATGTTCTTGTTTCTTATTTCTCTTTATCCGAATTAATTTATGTATTTTTTAAATTTATAATCAGATTTTATATTTTCTTCTCTCTCCCTTTCCTCGCCTCTATCTCTCCTCCTCCTCCTCCAACTTCCTCTTTCTTCTTACCCTCTCTACTACCTTCGTTTGTTTCAGACATTCACTAGTAGTACTTTCACTATTATCACTTTCACTTAAATTTTAAATTCCTCTTTAGTCGGCATCCTTGTTCCCATGTTCTTCTCCATGGTTCCTGGTAGTCCAGTAATTTTTCTCTGACTTTCCTTGTGTTTCTGTATTGGTTGGTTTTGGTGATGTGACTATTGTGACATTTATTTTCGCCCCTCTGAGTGCTACTGTGGATTGAGCCGTCAAGAGAAGATTGCTTGCTAAAGAAGACCCCCCCAAATAAAACCAGAAGAGGTATCTACCCCCAAACATGAGCAAATTGCAAGTCAGAACCACCAGAAATACAAAAAAGCAAGAAAACATGGTTCCTCCAAAAGTTCAAAACACCTCGATAATTGAGCCTAGGATGCTGAAAGGTTGAAATGCCAAATAAGGGCTCAAAACTCTAGTTTAAAAAACATCAGTGATCTTAAAAGGAATTCAAACAATCAAATAAATGAAATGAAGAAGTCAGTAGGGGAGCTGGGCAAGAAAGCACACAGGGTAAGTGAGATTCGAACAGAAACACTGGACATTAAAAACCCAGGAAGTCAATTTTACAATGCAGTGGAAAGCATCACCAGTAGATGAGACCAAGCAGAAGAAAGAATGGCAGGGATTGAAGAGAGAGAGTCAAAGAACTACAGCACTCAGAGAACAAAATAAATAAGCATCACCATAATTATCAAGAACTCAATGGATTTGTGGGGTGAGATGGCCAGTCAGAAGCTGCCTTCATGTTATGTGGTGTGTAAGGAGTCCGCACTGCAAAGAACAGATTAAGCCAAAGAGAGAAAGCCAAAGAGATTCAGTGATCACGAGGGAGTGCCGGGGCAGCTGGCAAAGTTGATGTATTAGTTACTTTTCTGTTGCTGTGATAGAAACACTGTGACCAAGGGAACTTATTAAAGGGAGAGTTTATTTAGCTTACAGTTCCAAAGGGGCAAGAGTCCATCATAGCGGCAAGGCATGGAGGCAGAGGTGGTTGAAGTGCTAACATCAGAGCAGGACTGGAAATCCTGCAAGGCTTAAGAACTCTCTAAGCCCGCCCCCAGTGATGGGCTTCCTCCAGCATGGCCACACTTCCTAAGACCTCCCAAAACAGCGCCACCAACTGGGGATAAAATGTTCAAATACTTGTAGTCTCTGGGGGACATTCTCATTCAAACCACCACAGCTGGCCACCACCTAAACTTCTCTACAGCATTTAGAAATGCCTGCGTTCATATAATCTGTTTGACATTTACCAACTATATCAAAGAGAAAGATGTGAATCTCATTTTATCACATGTCTCTTAAATTATGGGTCATAACTCATTTCCTGTGTTTCTTGGCCATTCTTCTACAATATCTATTCATACGATTAGTATTTTGAATTAAAAGTTCAGTATCAATGTGCATTTTATTAACTGCCTCTAGCATCCATAGATCTCTGCTCCAACTCACAGTAACTTAGTGCCCATTGGTCATCTGTTTCCCAATTCACCCTCTTCTCTTGCTCCAGCCTCTGCTGACGACCAACCAACTTGTCAACTTCAGAAGTTTGTACCACATTTTTTCTAGGAACCCTATTGTCTAGATTTTCTGATTTATTGGCACAGGTTTCCCATCTGAACATTCACATTTCTTGTGTACCCATAATGATATGTTATTTATCATCTTTAATTTTGCCTACACTTTCCTACCCTTGTTGTAAAACATTTTGCTTTTTTATTTTTTCCTTTGAAAATAATTCAACTTATTTCTCAAATCTCCTTTTTAAATCTAGCTCCTTCATTTGAGCTCCTGCCATAACCAGTTCTTCATGTCTCCTCTCTATAACTCTGCTTCTTGTTTGTTGGGGTTTTGTGTGTGTGGTTTTTGTTTTGTTTTGTTTTGAGACTAGGTCTCACTAGGTAGCTCTAGCTGGCCTGAAACTCGATATATAGACCAGGCTGACTTGGAACTCCCAGAGGTCTGCCTGCCTCTGCCCAGGATTAAAAGTGTGTGCCATCACACATGGCTATACCCTGCTTCTTAAGTGACATGATTAGCTCTTTAATGACATGTTTATTTTCACTCTTCTTTGTCTTCATTAAAAGCTATAAACAAAAACCCATGTGAAGCGGGACACAGTAGTGTACATCTATAATTCCAGTGTTCCTGTGGCAAGATGGGAGGCAGAGACCGGAATAGTCCCAGAAGCTGTGCACCAGCTAGCATGGCATACACAGCAAGGGACAATCGAAAGTAGACTGTATCATATCAGATGGAAGGCTAGGACTGACACCCATGGTTGTCCTCTGACTGCTACACAAGTATCATGGCACGTGTATGCCCATTCTCACATGACTATGTGTACACAGATACACACACACACACACACACACACACACACACACATTTTTGAAAGCTATCAACAAACATAAGACTATGATTTTTTCTCTCCAAAGGCTGTATCCAACTAGATGTCCCATGAAGTATTCTCCTAAAGCATTCTTTGTTTTTATCTTTAAAATCATTTAATAATATTTTAAATCAGCACGTGACCAGTGAGAACTCATGGCAGGACCACTAATCCAGACTTATAGGATCAGAACTTTAAAAGTGGAAGAAATGAACTGTAGGAGTAGTACTAAACAAAAAGCAGGGCAGCACACAGATATGAATTAGAAAGCAGGTCTCTAGATGAATAAGGTTGCACCCCAAGCTGAAAATGCAGCATGGACAAAGCTGTCTGTCAAGAGAACAAGTCAAGGAACTGGAGTGATGGCTCAGCAGTTAAGAGCACTGGCTACTCTTGCAGAGGACCCAGGATCGATTTCCACACTCAAATGGTGGCTAACAACATCTATAGTTCCAGTTCCAGGGAATCTGACGCCCTCTTCTGACCTCCAGAGGCATTGCATGACATGGATGCACTTACACACATGCAGGCAATACACTTATACACATAAAATAAAAATAATAAAATATTTTAAAAACAGAACAAGTCAGGCTTGTGAATGAAATAGTTTAATATGCCTAACATTCATTCACCAAAGAGATCTATATTTCACCTCCTCCCATGTGTTTCCTCTACCTTTAGCACTATTGCCTATGTTTCTGATTATACAACTTTGACTTATATATGATTTATGGTAATTTATTAAAATGTAAGGGGCATTGAGCACCACACACACACCTGACTGCCTGAATCCACCTTCCTCTTGTTAATCAGTCATCTCTAAGTGTTGCCTTTTAAAACATACCAAAGGCATATATCTAGAGACTCTACAAAAGAAAGTTATCTTGAAAGGAAGCTATAAAATAAGCAAGCCCAACTGCTCATTGGACAGATACAGCAACAGAGCCAAAAAGCCTACTGATATGCCCTCTCTGACCTACCCTGTCTTAGGCAGAGCACTCTGTCAGGGTGAGAAAGTTGGTCACTACCTCCTAAGTGAGGCTGAAAACATGGGTTCTGCATTACATCACTCATAATCCTCATCCCACTTCTTCATCCCAGCTATGAATATGTTGGATATGTCCTTGTGCTCAGATGGCCACCTAACACCATAAGCTGGGTGGCTTAAACAGCACCATACATACTCTCACATTTCTGCCAGGCCAGGATCACGGCACTATTAGGACTGGATTCCAGTGAGGTCTCTACTTCCTTGTAGATACCTCCTTCTTCACTGTGTCCTTATGTGAACCTTCTTTCCTGTGTGTGTGAGAGAGAGATAGAGATGAGAGAGAGAGAGAGAGAGAGAGAGAGAGAGAGAGAGAGAGAGAGAAGCTCCCCAAGGGTACGTTCCTCTTCCTTCAAGAACCCCAGTCCCAACAGATTAGCATCCTTTGCTTATGGTCTTATTTAACTTAAATGACCTCCTGAGGCTCTGTCTTCCAATATAGTGACAGTGGGGGTGAGGACGTCAGCAAATGAAGTCAAGGGAAACAGATTGACCTGTAACACCATCCTTCCTAAGGGGCCTATTCTTGTCATGTTCGCAATTATTACTTAAAACCCTAAACCCAGCTCTTTCTTTCCTGGGTAAAGGCTACAGTATATAAAAATGACATAGTGAACACCAAGGGGAATGCGTTCAGGAGGCAAGAAGTTCTCAAATGAGTGTGAAGTTGGGCATTTGTGCTTACTCTCAAACTCTCAAGGTATATGGTGATTGTACAAGAAATTGTTTTTATTAAAAGTAGACTTCAGTAAAACAGCATAATTTATGGTTACTTAAAATAACACAAACCTGGACTGGTGAAATGGGTTTAGCAGGTAAAGGCACTTGCCACCAAACCTGACATCCTGAGTTCCATCCTTGGAACCCACATGGTGAAAGGAAAAAAACCAATTCCTGAAACTCCTGAAACTTGTCCTCTGACCGCCACACATGTGTGATAGCACATGTGTGGGCAAGCACACACTAAATAAATGTTTTTTAATAATATTTAATAATTTTTAAAATTTTAAAATAATTTTTTAAATTTTATGTGCACGCATGTATTGCCTGCATGTAGGTAAGTGCACCCGTGTCATGCAATGCCCGCAGAGGACAGAATAGGCTGTCAGATCCCCTGGAACCAGAGTTACGAACAGTTGTTAGCTGCCATGTGGGTGCTGGGATTCGAACCTGGGTCTTCTGCAAGAACAGCCAGTGTTCTTAACCACTGAGCCATCTCTCCAGCCCCTAAATAAATGCTTTTTAAAAATTAAATAACACAAACTTTTCTCTCTTTTTTTTTCCAGATTATCAAGGTTCTATTTTGGTAAAAATGGAAAATAATGTGATGTTCTTTTCCAAGATTAGCATTAGTGATGTAATTAAGCTGCATCAATGGTCAAATGAGACAGTACCATCCACAGTGCTCTTCAGCGAAGCTGCTCAAATATATATTATATATTTCTTTGACAATTTCACAGTAAAAACACATGAATATCCCTTATTTCTGGAAATAAAAAGTGTAACATACAAAACAAAAGACAGATGCCCATACATGGCATTTCATAATAATGTTTTTAGTTCTTTTAACTTTTTGGACAAAGGAGAAAGCCTGACAGTTTGGGCACAAATAGTCTATCCAGAAAATCTTGGTCTGTACATTATTGTGGAACAATATGGCCCAAATATATTAACACGGACACAAAGCACTAACTATGAAATTGCCTTGGGATACTGCACGAAATCTGTGGTAAGTTAATATTTTGAATTTGTTTCAAAGAGATTATAAAAAATATAATAGTAGATAATTTGGGGGTGGGGCGGGGCAAGGTCTGTCACTGACCTGGACCTTAAGAAGTAGACTGGGCTGGTTGGCCAGTGAGCCTGAGGGATCCATCTGTCCCTGCCTCCCACATTCTGGAATTATAAATACATGCTACCACATCTGACTTTTTTTCCTTTTTGAAGGAAATGTTTATTATATTTCCTCCTTACAAAAGTCATGCATGCTTGTCAAAAATCAAACAGAAATAAATGAATTTCTCCCCACCCCTCCTTTCCTTTGATGTTCCTCCTCCACATGAGTCCTACAAAATAATTATTCCTAGAGAAACTACTTTCTTCATGCTGCTGGGAACAGGCTGTTTTCTTCATTATATTTCTTAACTAGTTACTGGTATAAACCTAAGTTATTTTAGATATAACTTTTTAGCTGGTCATCCATTCCTGATTTTTTAAAAAAATTGAATAAACAAAATATTTCTTTGCAAATGAAGACTGCCATATTCGCTCCCCTCTCGGAATTTTCTTCCAAATAATAACTGATGATACGTGATCTATTTTCCATTAACCTTAGTTTTCTTCATCCTTCTATTAGGATTTGCCTTCGTTATGGACATTCTGGTGCTGATTAAGTTGGAAGCTGAACCTGATAGCTTTGCCATATACATTACACACATAGGGTTTCTTCCAAGTATGGACAATCTGGTGTATAATACAGTCAGAACTAAAGCTGAAGCCTTTACCACACTCTACACATTGTAAAGGTTTTTCCCCAGTGTGGCTTCTCTGATGTTGAATTAAATGAGCATTGACATGGACAGCTTTTCCACACTCTTTGCATTGAAAGGGTTTCTCTCCTGTGTGAATTCTCTCATTCACAATATAGTCAGTTACAGCTGAATGCGTTCTTGCATTCCATACACTTGAGAGGTTTTCCCCCAGCATGTATTAACTGGTGCCTGGCATTGATAGTGAAGGCTTTTCCACATTCTTTACATTGATGAGGCTCTTCCCCAGTATGGGCTCCTTGATGATCAAGTAGGTTTCTTTTAGAAGTAAAGCACTTTACACATTCATTACACTCAAAGGGTTTCTTCCCTGTGTGAATTCTCTGATGCTGCATCAGTTTTGCATTAACGTTGAAGGCTTCTCCCCAGTATGAATTCTCAGATGCTGCCGAAGCTGGGAGTTACACCTAAAAGCTTTCCCACATTTGTTACATTCATAGGGCCTTTCACCTGTGTGTATTCTCTGGTGTTGGATTAATTTCCATTTGGCACTAAAGATCCTGGAGATGAAACTCAGGTCCTCATGCTCAGAAGACAAGCACATTATCAACCGAACCACTCTGTCAGCCCCACCGTAACATCATCATGTACTTAGAATAAAACAAACCTAAGCCAGTGAAATGGCTTAGCAGGTAAAGGCACTTGCCACCAAAGCTGACAACCTGAGTTGGATTCCTAGAACTCACGTGGTAGAAGGAGAGAACCAAACCCTGAAAGTTATCCTCTGACCTCCACATAAATCAATAAATGTTTAAAAAATTAAATAGCACAAACTTTTCTCTCTTTTTTCTAAGAATACTTTCATACACTTAAACTATTTCCCTTCTAAGTTTAACCGAAAAAATGCTGAGAAATGTGTGAACTTTTAAATAAAATATAATACAATAAGCCCTTAGTTCGTGAGTCACAATTTTCACTTTCACTCAAGGACCGTCTTAAAATACATTCTTTCGGAACTGTTTGCTTTTTGTTTGTTCTCTTCTCTCGCCTTACTCTGTCTTTAACTGTGTATCTGATACAATTATTTATGTAAAAATAAAGCAGGGAGCTCACAGTTCTGGAAGGCTAGGAAACCCCAGAACATATCATTAGCTACCTGGTGAGGGCTTCGTAACACTGCTGGGTCCATTACATGGTAAGACAGCAGGTATGTGAGGCTAGGTCTCCCTTCCTCTCCCTATGAAGTCACTAAGTTTATTATGGGGACTCCACTCTCTTGACCTCATCTGACCCAATTACCTCCCACAGGCCCCACCTACCTCCAAATTCCACAAGTGTGTGAATTTGGAACTTTAATTTCCAACCTATGAATGTTCAGAGGTCACATTCAAAACAAAACGGACATTCTCTATTTTTGTCCAGTAAGCCACCCAAATCCTCATGGCTTCCAACCATAATCAGACCCTAGAGGTCAGCAGTTTGAGAGTCTGAGTAGCACAGTGGTTCTGTGCTCTCAATCTCTAGACTGTATTGTGTAAGCCGATCTAATAAAATCCATCTTTGATATGTAGTTTTTCTCTTGGCTCTGTTCCTATAGAACTTAGGAAAATAGACTCTGCTATTAAGCAAGGAAGCAGACCAGCCATGTTACATTGCAAAGGGGTACATACGTACAGAGGAGTGGGAGGAATCACTGTGATCGTCTTTACAATCTACTGTAGTACCAATAAATATAAGGTATATTATTTTGTATATTGCTTTTCCAATTTGAGAATATGAGCATTTTACATCTTCAACTTCTTCTCCAACATGGAATGATTCAAATGGTAATTTCTCTTCCCCAATTCCATTCCGTAACTCAGCCTCCTCAGGTCCACACAGGGTGTGGGTCTCTTACTTGGTATAATGGAATAGAAGCACTCAGTTATTTCTAAAGTCATCTAGCTCAAGGAATCATGTGCTAGATAATATATTTTAATTATCATCCCCATTAACATATGGAGAACATTTTCATTTAACTGAAATCAACAGGTTTATACTTAATAGTCAAACTTTTTGTACAGAACCAGAGCATTTAATCCATTTACATTTATTAGAATTAATGATGTATTTTGGGATTTGCCTTCAATTTGTTTTTGCTTCTAATTTTTAGTCTTTTCGTATCCCTATTTTAATTATTAATTATTATTTGTGTATGTGTGTGTGTACCATGGCACACTCGTGGTGGTCAGAAGAAAACTTTCAGGCGCTGGCACTGTCTGTGTTGCTGAGGCAGTCTCTCACTGTTTCTGTTGCTTCATTGCATACTCCAGGCTACCTGGCCAGAGAGCTACAGCATAGTTATCTCTCTGTCTCTGCCTTCCATCTCTCTGTAGGAGGTCTGGGATTACAGATGTACACTATTACATCTTGCTTTTTATGTGGGTCCCAGGGGGTTGAATTCAGGTCCTCAGGTGACTTTGACCTGCTAAGCCATCTCCTAGGTCCCTTGTATCCATTTCATCTCTTCATATTTCCTCTTCCACAGTCTTACAAGTTATATGCTGTGTGTTTATAGTCAGATTTCCTTAGAAATTATTAAATGAGAGCCAGGCATGGTGGCACACATCTTTAATCTCAGCACTCAGGAGGCAGAGGCAGGCAGATCTTGGTGAGGTCAGCCTGGTCTTCATAGCAAGTTTTAGGCCAGCTGGGGCTACAGGGAGACCCTGTCTCCAAAAGACCCCCCCCCCAGAAAAGAAAGAAAAAAAATATGGAATGACTATTTAATTCATATAAATCTAAATTTAATTGAATATTTTACTCTTTCCCCAACTTATTATAGTCACAGATCTTAATTCCATCTTTTTACAGTAGTAATGTATATAGCAGTTTTATATAGCAATATGTCACAAATAGCAGTGTTTACCCTTTTTTAATTTTTAAAAAAATTACTTATTTTTTATGTGTTAAGAGTGGTTTGTCGGCATGTATGTAAGTACACCACATGCATGCAGTGCCATGGAGGCCAGAAGAGGGCATCAGATCCCCTGAACTGGAGTTATGGAGAGTTGTTCGCTGCTGTGTAGGTGCTGGGAACTGAAGCCGGGTCCTTTGCAAGAGCAGTCAGTGCTCTTAATTGTTGAGCCATCTCTCCATATGCACCCCCTCCCCAACCCCCACCCTACTCCCATCTTCTTCTTCTTCTTCTTCTTCTTCTTCTTCTTCTTCTTCTTCTTCTTCTTCTTCTTCTTCTTCTTCTTCTTCTTCTTTTTGGTCTTTTTGAGACAGGGTCTCCTTGTAGCACCAGCTGGCCTGAAACTCACTATGTAGACCAGGCTGGGTTTAAAGGCATGCACCACCATGCCCAGCTTAACATATATTTTTGTGTGAGGTTACTGGGGATTAAATACACCATGCTTTTTGTCTGAAAATATGTTTATTTTACCTCATTTCTGAAAAGAAATTATTGTTGTGTGTGTGCGAGAGAGTTACAACATACATGTGGAAGTCATAGGACAGCTTTGGATGTTAGTCCTCTCTTTCCACCTTGTTTGAGGCAGACTCTTTTATTGGTCTGTGTACACAAAGGTAGCCAGCCCACAAGGTTCTGGAGTTCTCCAGTCTCTACCTCGCATCTCAGCATAGGAGCACTGTGATTACAGATGCACACTAGCATGTCCAGCTTTATGTGGGTCTGGGGGATCCAAACTCAGGTCCTCATGCTTGCATGGCAAGCACTTTACCCACTGAGCCATCTCCCCAACCCAATTACTCATAATTTTAACTCTAACCCTCAGGTGCTTTAAAAGTTTGTTCTACACTTTCTGCAGTTTTTGTGTGACTGGGTAGATGTGGGTTTCTTTGCTGTAATGCTACATGGAATTTTTGAATGTGAAGATCGTTGTTTCTATCACACATGTAGTCAGGTCTTATCTAGACTTCCTTCTCTTTCCTTTTGTCTCCTGTAACTCTAATTAGTCACATGTTAAACTGTCTCAATCTCATCTCCATAAGTCTTCTCTCTTCTATATTGTTCATTTTTTTACCTCCCTGGAATATGGTGATATAATTTCTTCTAGTCAGTCTTCCACATCAGCACTTTTTTTTCTGTCTAATCTGTTGCCAAAATTATATTTGGCATTATTAAATATTTACATATTTAAATTACATCTGTGTATTCAGTTTAATTGTGCTTCTCACTTTTCACTTCTAGAATTCTTGTTTGTTCTATTTATACATGTACCTGTGGAAGTCATAGGACAGCTGTGGGTGTCAGTCCTTTCTTTCCATCTTTGATAGAAGACATTTGATAGTGTCTTATTCTATACTACAGATATTTTCAGGCTTGCCATTCAGTGTTTGTAATCTAAAATAGTAGATAGAAGATGATAGATAGATGATAGATAGATACATAGATAGATACATAGATAGACATATATAGATAGATGATAGAGTTGACCTAAGTCTGAGCATCATTTAAATGACAGTAATCTTGAAGACTATGGCTACATTTCATAAAAGGAACCTAACTACAAGCAGGAACATTCTTGTAAAGTTACTTCAAATGTGACATATAAAGTATACAATAGAATGCAGGGGCAAATCTGATTATAGTTCCTTTCCCTGAATTGGAGATTTGTAGCCCCAGCTGACTTGGAACTCACTATGTAGATCAGGCTGGCCTTGAACTCACAAAGATTCACCTTCCTCTGCCTCCCAAGTGCTGGGATTAGAGGTGTGCACCACCAATGCCCCACTGGAAATATTTTTTTTATGTATATGCGTGTATTGCCTGCATGTAGGTAAGTGCACCCGTGTCATGCAATGCCTACGGAGGTCAGGAGAGGCTGTCGGATCCCCTGGCACTGGAGTTATAGACAGTTATTAGGTGCCATGTGGATGCTGGGATTTGAACCTGGTTCTTCTGAAAGAACAGTGTTCTTAACGGCTGAGCCATCTCTCCAGCCCCAGTTTTTTTGTTTTTTGTTTTTAATTTAATAAACCTCACCAGCTGAAATTTCATCAAAACAGATTGAACATTTGTGTTGAACCACTTCATATCCAACACCTTAACACCAAGAATTTTTAGGGGGACGTAGTATGTTCTCATCAAAATGGATTAGCAAGAACCAAATTTAAATGATATATCCCTAACTAACACCAAAAAAATTTAGGGGGACGGAGTATATTTTCATCAAAAAAGATTAGCAAGAACCAAATTTAAATGATATATCCCCATCGTATACAAATACACACACACACACACACACACACACACACACACACACACACAAATTAAAGGAACAAAAAATGTAACAAAGTAAAATAATTTATACATAACTGGGCTTTTACAAAAAAAAAGAAATTAAAAAAAAAAATACTGGTCCAGCAAGTAAGGCCACTTGCCAAGACTGACAACCTGAGTTTGGTTCCCAGGACACACATGATAGAAGGAGAAAACCCATTGTCCTCTGACTTCCACATGCATGCTGTGGCAAATGCATGCCCCCCCACGCACATCTCTCACACACAAAGTAAATAAATGTAATAATCTTCAAAATGCTATATAAAAATGTATATAATTTTCCTTACTTAAAGAAAGATTTAAAGTCGGGTGTGGTGGCACACACCTTTAATCCCAGCATTCAGGAGGCAGAGGCAAGCAGATCTCTGTGAGTTCAAGGCCAGCCTGGTCTACAGAGTGAGTTCCAGCCCAGCTGAGGCTACAGGGAGACCTGGGCTCAAAAAGAAAAAAAAAAAAAAAAAAAAAAAGATTTAAATATGTCTTAAAGGTATATACTGGGTCCTAGGAAAACTTGGTTTATAGTAATGAATGTTAGTACATATTCTGTTGTGCTTAAATGTAGACACCACATGACTCTAAGTTGAGGTAATGTCACTAAGTGGAGGTCCCCATCCCCAGCTTTCCTGCTTTTCAGAAACTTTTTAATTTTCTTTTTCAGGAAACTAAATTTTCTCAGAATGTAGATTATAATTTAGCAGATGATTACTTCGATTTACAGTAAGTATGACTTTAAAATATATTACTCCGGATATTAATTTGTAGATTTTATTTAAATGTACTCAGATCCCTTTAAATGTCCAGTTTTCAGAGTGCTTTGATTCTAGATCTTTGTAAACGAGTATTTTTCATTAAAATGTAAATAATCTTTGTAGTCAGTGGAAAATATGAAGGTTCTTCATTCCATTGAAGATGCCAAAAATGGTCTCATGTGAGTTGACTTTCCATTTGTAACAGAATACCTAAAATAACTAAGGAGAAGAGGGTTATTTGTGCTTGTGAGTTTTGAGCCATGACTTGAGAGGCAAAGCTGGGACTGGCAAAGCTGCACCACCAGTACAGGCACATGATGCACCTCTTACCCCATGAGCCAGGTACCAAGGAGGAAGAGACCAGGGTTGACAGTCATCTTTGAGTGCACACCCCCAGTCACCCAGGGATCCCATGAAGCCCTACCTCCTGAACAGCCACCAACTCCCAGTGGTGCTATCCCAAGGACCAAGCCACCCATGAGCCTTTAGAATTTTTTGAAGATTTTATGTGTATGAGTCTATTACCTGCATGTCTGTAAGTGCACCCATGTTGTGCAATGTCTGCAGAGGTCCGAAGATGGCATCAGATCCCCTGGAACCGGAGTTACAGACGGTAGTTAGCCGCCATGTGGGTGCTGTGAATTGAACCCAGGTCCTTTGCGAGAGGCCAGTGCCTCTGAGTCATTTCTCCAGCCCCAGGAATTTTTTTTTTTTTTTTTTTTTTGAGAGAAGGATTCACTATGTAGCCTTGGCTGGGCTGGAACTTTCTATGTAGACCAAGCTGGCTTCAGACTCACAGAGATCCACCTGCCTCTGCCTCCAAGAGTGTGGAGATTAAAGGTGTGTACCACCATGCCTGGTCCTTAGGATGTTCTTAACCAACTGAACAAAACAGGACTATTTCTTAATTCAATCATTTCCATTCATGTTCTATCATCAATTCTCAATTCAAAGTCTCTATCCATTATCTTTAATCAAAAGCAAGAGCTCTTAATATCAGAGAAAGTCTAACTGTGAGTAAAATCACATAAAACGCCAGCTTTGAGTCTTGGATCAGGTAGCATCTGAGCATGTAATTTCTGAAGAAAAGATAACCAACCTGGAATTCTGTGTGCATTAATAAGTATTCCATCAATATAGCCAAATACCTGACATGGGCTATGCATTAGTTATTTTTCTGTTGCTGTGATAAAACACCATGACCAAGACAACTTATATAAGAAGAGTTTATTTAAGCTTACATTTCCAGGGGTAAATGTCCCTCATGGCAGGGGGGACAAGTTGGCAGAGGTGACTGAAGCAGAAAGCTGAGCGCTTGCATCTTCAAGCAGGCACAGGAAGCAGAAAAAGACAGGAAATCCGGCAAGGGTTAAGGACTCTTAAAGCCCACCCCTAAGGACATGCTTCCTCCAGCATAGCCACACCTCCTACCCTTCCCCAAACAGTGCCACCAATTGGGAACAAAATTTCCAAATACTTGGAGTCTATGGAGGACATTTTTATTCAAACCTTCATAAGCTGTGGGGTTGGGAGTATTAATCTCACTGTTCTGGAAGCTGAAAACCCAAGCAGCATAGTGCAGACATGGTGAGGGCCACCCAGGCTGCAGCTCCTCCTAGTGGCTAGCAGTGATAGGAAAGCATGCAGGAGCACTGCATTTTGAACAGGAAGCAGGAATGACTGGCTGCGACTAGGCTTGCTCCTCTTATACCAATCCTTCCGCACAGCGTTACCTCATGCCCTCATTGACCTAAGGGTTTCCCACTAAGCCCTCTCAATATGCCCACCATGTGAACCAGTGTCAAGAAGCTTTATATAATTAGTCATAATTATTATATAAGTCCAGTCAAGTTTCACTGTAATTTTGGTAAGATAATTTAAATATGGCCAGGCGTGGTGGTGCACGCTTTTAATCTCAGCACTTGGGGGGGCAGAGGCAGGCAGATCTCTGTGAGTTCAAGGACAGCCTGGCCTACATAGTGAGTTCCAGGACAGCTGGGGCTACAGGGAGACCCTATCTCAAAAAGACCAAAAAAAAAATTTTTTTTTAATATTTAAAAAGATTAATTGTATCCAAATCATCACATGACAGAAAGGCATGTCCTATGATTATCATTATGAACTGCTTATTTTCAATATTTTTTGGGAAAAACAAAAACCCACAATATTTTCTGGAGGAAAAAAAAAATAGTTCTTTTTCCCCCTAGCAAAGGGTCTTGTTTTCTGTAGGCTGCTCCTATTGCATGTGAGTTTGAGTGACTCTTCTATTCCAAGCACTCTCTAGATATTCCAAATACATAGCCAAGATAAAAGGTGGAGTACCAGCATCTCAGAACCTACCTCCAGTGGGAGAAGACGAACACCAAGCAACTAACAAATATGATAATTCCAAGAACTGAAAAGTGGTATTGAAAACAGAACCTGAAGTGATGGCTCAGTCAATACAGCGCCTGCCACACAAGCTTGAGGACCTGAGTTCAGATCCCCAGTATCCATGTGAAAGCCGGGCAAGGTAGCATTCATTGCCTGTAGCCCCAGTGTTACAGTGTTGCAGTGTTGGGAGCAACAGGAGGGTTCCTGGAGCTCATTGGCCAGCCAGTCAGTCCAATTGATGAGCTCTGGTTCAGTGAGAGATTTTGTCTCTGAAAAATAAGGTGGAAAGTGATCAAGGAAGACAGCTAATGTCAACCTCTGGCTTCCACTAAAAAGTGTGTGTGTGTAGAGGTATATACATGCATACACACATGTACAGACCCATATAAACATATATGTAAAACACACACACACACACACACACACACACACACAAAGAAAAAGAAATGAAAAGAAAACAAGATGGTGCAGTAGTGACCAGGAACAGTGAGGAGAAAATGCTCCTTGAACAGTGTTCAGGAGAGGTTCCATGGTTCCAGTCTTCCTTTCCCATTCACCCCTTGGCTTTTCTCTCTAGCCTTCTGTGATGATTCATCTCAGTTGTCAATTTCATGAGATCTAGATTCATTTGGGAGATGGGCCTCTGAGTTGTCTATGGGGCAATAACAGTGATCAGGCTAAGTGAGGTGGGAAGAGCTGGCCACTGTGGGAGGCACCATTCCCTGGGCTAGGATCTTAAACTGTATAAAATGAGGAAAGTGAGCTTAGCACAAGCATTCATTACCCTCTTCTTCCTGATTGTGGATGTCATGTGATCAGGTGCTACAAGTTCTTGCTGCTTTGACCTTCCCCACCATGATCGGTTGTATCTTTGAACTGTGAACCCAAATAAACTCTTCTCCCCTTAAGTTGCTTTTGTCAGGATATTTTGTCATAGTAACAGGAAAGTAGCTAATTCACCTTCTAACAGAGTAGATTCCTTTGGGTATTTTTGTTTTTACAAACATTTACTGAGAATTATGTTGTAGAACCCACATCAATTCATCTAAGATATTTTCTTTTTCCCTCAGTTTTCCCTCTTCTAAAAATAAAACTTTAGCAGGGATGGAATGTGAAACAAACTTACAAAATTTCTATTTCTATTATTTTGGAACCCTCATATTTTGCCCAAGCATAAAATCATTTATGTGCAGTTGGTAGTGGAGAAAGGCCTTATATCTGACCTCCTTTTGGGTTCCAGTCAGATAAGTTTACAGAGCTTAACGTGGTTAGGTGATGCATTGCTCTTTATTGTTTCAAAGGTGTTGTCAATGGGATTCTATAGGGCTGCCACCTCAAAACACCATCAGGAGAAGCAGGTGAAAATGTCAGGTGCAGAACCCCAACATCCAGGGACTGAGGATGTTTGTGGAGTGGGGAATGAGCAGTGCTTGAAATGCTAATAGAATGCTCACTTCTGTTTTCTGCTGTACCAACCATCTGGTGGTCAAAGCATGGGACCAGAGAACGTGGGGCTGCTGCACAGTGCACAGCTCCCTTCACAGAAGCAGCTACTACCAGCACCACCCTCCAGGCCTTTAGAACTCCTTAGAGGGTTCAGCCCCATCATGTAACAGGGCTTCATATGTGATCTACACAAAGACAGAGTTCTCTCTCCTGCTTTCATGATTCTACAGTAACCTGTGTGAGTCGTTTTTCCTAGAGAAAAGAACACGGGTCTTGTGCTTGTTCATCTCCGACCTAGTGAGTTTTCAAAAATGTGTCCATTGGCCAAAAAGGTGAGTGATATATGTTAAATCATAAGTATTTCTTTAAAAATGTAGAGTTAGAGACCAGGAGATTGCCACAAAAGCTTGATGACCAGAGTTTGTATCTTCAGAACCCATATACTGAGTGGGTATTTCAGCCTGCCAGTCATCCCAGCACTCAAATGGCAGGGGCAGGCATTCTCCCCCAAAAGCTAGCTATCTAGATTAGTCATATCAGCAAGGTCTGGGTTCAACTGTGTGACCCTGTCTCAAAGAATAGGGAGGAGAGAAATGGAGAACGACCCCTGAAGCCAAGCTCAGACCTCCACATACAAGTATACACGTGTATGTGCACACACAGACAGGTACACCTATACATATGTGGACACACACACAGGCACACGACATACATGCTAAAAATGTATAGTTAGTAAACTAAATAACATATTATCTTTATACTATCCTCTCCCCTCCACTTGTGAAGATGGCCCTTCTCTGTTTTGGAAGCATAAGATACAATTCTGCCTTTTGTGAGTTTGTCATCCAAAGTGTAAAATCATTATAAAATGTATACAAAAGTATAAAATCATTAGTTTTGGAAGGTTGGAAGATAAACTGTATAATGGGAGTTACAAAGTGCCCTCCATGGAGGTAAATATGCCTTGCTTAAGACAGCATGGTGCACTCAGTTACCAAAGCTCAGAGGAAAGCATCGTTTTGATTGGGAAGGGAAAAGATGCATACACTCTATGACTGAAGAATAAGCAGACATACAGCAGGCAGAGGCCAAGAGACTTCAGGACAAGGCATAGGCAACAGTGTGCAGGTAAAAAATGGCATGAAGGTAAATGCAATGTCTTAGCAACCTTGAGTCTGTGATTCAGCATTAGTTCTCAGCCTAACTAGCAGCCAGTCAGTGTATAGTAAGCATCTGCTGGATACAGGACTACCAATGGAATAGGGCTTTTGTCCCTCTCTTTCCAGACTCCAGAACTTGTACCAGGACAAGTTTCCATCAGTTTCAAGGGAGCCTTGAGCTGGGATGAATGTGATCCATCCTTAGCACTGTTAGCATGTGCTGCCTCCCTAGAAACTGTACAGCAGCATACCACCACCACAACCCCCCATCAACCAGTTGCACCACCTAGCCACAGCTGTCTGTGGTGGAAGCATGAAACTTCAGCCTTCTCTAAGACTGGATTTTCTGCCTTCAGATGCCCCTGACCTTTATGGATACCTTCCTGTGGCCCTGAGGTTCTTCCTATCCCCATCAGTCAATGAACTTGTAGGAGATCCATCTTTGCCTTACCCTGCCCAGCGCAGCTTTACCCAGAAGATTTATCTCACTTGAGTTCAGTTCCCAGCTGTGTGGCTCATTGGCTTGGTCAAGCTACTTAAGCCTTCTGAGGCTTCCCTGCCTCCTTTGTAAAGGGGAAACATCCATCTCATGGATTATTGGGAGTGATAGTGGGATTGTTTATGAAAGTATTAAGAACCCTGCTTATCACAGAGTCATTATCTAATAATACTGGTATTTTCCCCACTCTCCCCAAGGTAAGCACAATTCAAATCAAACTACCTCCTGAACCCACTGGCCCAGTGTGACTTGCCTACCCCTGAAATCTGGCAGAGTACTATGCAACAGCCCTGTTAAGTAGTAGGATAAGAGAGAGATTATCTAGTTATCCAGGGAAATCAAAATTTGCATGCCGACTAGAGAATGTTCTCAAGAACAGGGTCCCTTCTTTGCACTGTCATGTACATGAGCAAGCAAGTCATCAGCCTCCCAGGTGAACAGTACGCAGGCACAGCACTGAACTCTGCATGGACATAGAACCATGGCCCACAGACTTCTCCAGTGGATGAAGTCAGGCTCTTGTTAAACCTGCTGGACAAAATGGGCTGAACTGAGCCATCTGACTAGGAGCCTGCTGTCTTTGTTACTTGGTCCACATATGTATGTGCATGCCTGTGGAGGCCAGAGGTCGATTATAAGGTGTCTTTCTCAATTGCGCTCCACATTATATATTGAGGTAGGTTCTCTTATACAGTGGAGTTTTAGCTAGCTAGTTCTTTTTTTAAAATATTTTGTTATTTTATCTAGTTCTTTAAATGTTGACCTTTTCCACACAGAATGTCTTCCTCAGACATTTCCAGCCTATGAATCCAGGCCTCATGGCACACCATATTTGTGTGATACCATTGTTGAATTTCACACTTGCCTCACTGCATCCCAGAGGAATGCATGGTCTGTGTTAATGAAGCATCTCAGAGTCCTGCGGTAGACACTATGCTGAGTGCTGTACCATAGTATCCATTATCAAACAAATAAACATAGATGCTGGTGGAACATGGCTACCTGTAATCCCAGCACTTGGGAGGCAATACGGGAGTATCATAAGTTAGAAGTCAGCATGTTCAAAATAAATATCCAGAGGTCTATGTGAAGTCCCTTAATTGACCAGTTATTCCTTTGAATACAGAGTCGTGCTGTATAAAGCAAAACTAACAAAGCCTAAGAGGCTTCTGCACATGATGCCACTCAATATCCTGACAAATGACTGCTCCAGTTAGGTACATTATAGAAGTCAGCAGGCAGAGTCTATGGTACAGGCCTCAAGCATAGGGTTGTAGCTGTGCAGGTAGAAGATGAAATGAGATGAGATCTATTTTCTGACATACTGACGAAAGAAAACAGAGAACCCTCCTTTGGGTTGCCTAAGCAGTAAAGGCAAGAAGCAAACATTGTGATCATAAGAGGAGGAAAGCGACCTAGACGGTATATTACAACCCTGTACTTAAAGGTTGTTGCAGGTTGAGCATCCGTTTCCAGAGTACTCAGAAATCTTGAAATTTTCAACACTAACATGATACTGGGAGTAGAAAATTCCACACCTGACCTTATGTGACAGGTCACAGTCAAAATATGAGTATACTAGAAAGATTGCACAAAATTGCCTTCAGGTTATGCTTATGTGGTACATAGGAATCATGAATGAATTTTGTGCTTGGTCTTGGGTCTCATCCCCAAGATACCTCATTATGTACATGCAACTATTCTAAAATCTGGAACACTTCTGGCACCTAGCATTTCAAATTAAGGGATAGTCAATCTGATTTTTCCAATCTGAAATATAGTGGATTTTGCTCTAATACTCTCTTAGATCATGCAAGGCAGAACTGCTGAACTCACTACATAAAATTATTTCATTTTTAGGTGTTCCAAATTGCTGTTGGCTGTGATGTGAATAAATACATTGTGGTTGATGGGCAAGTATACTTCCACTTGACTGGTCTTACTCTGGAAACAAATGGTGCTCTAATTGGTAATCATTAGTGTCCTAGTTTGGTTTCCTGTTGCTGTGATAAAATACTGACCAAAACCAACTTGGGGAGGAAAGGGTTTATTTCAGCTTAGAAGTTACAGTTCATCATCAAGGGAAACCAAGGCAGGAACTCCAGCAGGACCAGGAGGAATGCTGCTTGCTCCGCCTGCATCACTCAGCTGCCTTTCTTTTATGTGGCCCAGACCTGCTTACCTGGAATGGCACTGTCCACAGTGGACTGGACCCACCTACATCAATCAGCAATCAAGAAAATGCCTTACAGACATGCCCGGAGGCCAATCTGATGAAGGAAATTCTTCAAATATGTCCCTCTCCTCAGTTGTGTCAAGTTGACAAACTATGATAATTAGTGGTAATAGTAGTCTCATAACTGGCATGCCCATAATGAAATCCAAACCTGAATTGGAATTGGTGTCCAGTTTCAGCTGGTTTGAACTTACTGTCCAGTCAAATACTGCATTTGAATCACTCTAAAAACACAGCATTTCCTGATTCTGCACCTCCCTCTCAGTCCCCCATGTCTATATTTGCCATTACTTCTTTCGACACTTCAGTCTGCAGCACATCCCCAGAAAATGAGAGGGAGAAACCACCCCCTCTGTTTTCCATCCTACTTAAACCAGTTCTAACTTCATTTCTGTCAGAGAGTTGCTTACACCCATATCAGAAAGGCTTCCACTCCCTGCACCTTTTTCTGTGACCAATGGTTCCCTCGGAACACCCTAAGGTATGCATTTCCTCAACCTCATGATGAGACACAATGGATTTTTACATCCATTTGTAGCTCTCTTCTACATGGGAGAGAGTCAACATCAGCACACACAAGTCTATCTGACTGAGGTCTGGTGCGTAATGGGAGGCAGTAATTTACTATGGCTTCTTTCCTTCCGCTAGGGGTAAAGATGAGTCGGGGACCATTGGTTTTCATCTGAGTAGTTAGAAATATGGCTTGCTCTCATCCAAAACAAGTGTTTATTCCTAGTCAGGCAGGTGGCTCTTGACTGAAATCTCAGTACTTCGGAGGTAGAGAAATGAAGCTGCTGGACTTCAGACCAACCTGGCTTGCATAGTCAGTTCCAGACCATCTTGGGCTATATAACAAGACTATTTTTTAAAAAGTCTGTTCCTCCACCATTCTGATAATCTTTTGGTTATTACTGAATTGTAAAATCACTTCCTAGATTGATAACTAAGTATTTCCTTCTCACTCAGCATTTCCTAAACGTGCATTCCAAACACTTTCCCAAAAACTGTTTTTCAGGAAAGGTAAGAAGACTGACTTCTGTAGCCCCGGGGCACCCTTATTTGGGAATGATTTGCATCTCTGCTGTTAGTTTGGCACATGGACCAGCACTGGCATCACCTGGGACCTTGTTAGTGAAATGAAGGAGCACAAACCTCAAACTGTTAATTGTAATCTGCGTCTTGACAAAATTTCCAGGACACTAGAAGGAGCATTAAAGTTTAAGAACAATTGCTGTGAGCAACATGTGACCAAAATCAATTCTCAGTACCTGTCACATGCAGAATCCTTTCCCAGGCTCCTGATTTCCTTCTGCAGTGAGTATAGCCATTTAAACCAATCTGTTTCTGGGAAGGTCCAAGTAATAATGGGAAAGCTGCTCATCAGAATCACCTGAAGAGCATACCCGAGCTCCCTCTACATTTCAGTGACCCACTGCTCTGGAGCTGTGAGAGCTGGAGTTGCTTTGGTCAAGTGGCCTTCACAGGTACCAAGGAAGGCAGGTGGAGTCTGGGGTCCAAGGCACCTGAGGAGAGCTAGGAACAATGTTAATGAAGAAGAGCATCTTTCATATTATTTGTGTTTTTGCATTGTGGTTTGGGTTTACGGATTTCTTTGGTTGGTTGTGTGTCTGAAATTCTAACCTGCCTTTGTTTAGTTGAAGTTTGGTTCTGTCTATATTGTTGATGTAGCTTGGTTGCTTTCAGGTCAGGTCTGAGTACTTAGTTGGTCTGTGCTTCAGGTCCTCATTTTTTATTTTTTTATTGGTGGGACAGGATGGTTCCAAGCTGATTAGTAAAGACCTCTGCAGCATTGGGGAAGGCGCATCCCTGATTCAAGATTATGGGGCTCCAGTGGCTGGGTTCTGGCAGGCTAGTCAGGCAGGAAGATCAGGAGAGGGGCTAGGGCCAAGGCAGGGGTGGGGACAGTGTGGGGAGAGACTAATTAGCTAGGCAAAGTAGGTGTGGGCCCTGGAGCAGGAGCATGTAGCTAGCGTGGGTGCAGGGGAATCAAGGTACAATGGGCAGGGTCTGACTTGGAAGGCTAATCCAGAGGTCTCAGGCAGGGAGAGCATGAGTGGGCCTCAGCCCAGGGCTTGAATAGGGACAGCTGTGGCGAGGGTCTAACTAGCTAATCAGAGTAGTATGGGCGCTAGAACAGAGGAATGTAGCTGGTACTGGTGCAGGTGGATCAAGATGTAGTGGGTAGGGTCTTAGGCAGGAAGTGCTGGAGTCCTAGACCCAAGGCTAGAATGGGTACAGCCTGGGGAGACAGAATGTAGCTGGTCAGGTTGCAGGTGAGTCAAGACACAGTGGGCAAGATCTGGCTAAGGAGGTTAGTCAAGAAGCCTGGCGGGGGTTGAGGGGAGAAGGCCTAGGCCCAAGATGAGAATGGAGACAGCAAAGAAGAGCATCTTTCAGGGCTGTGTTTGGGTTCAGAATATATGGTGGTCTAGACCTCCAGTGTCCATCTAAAACCTGTGGTGGATGAGTTCAAGTTACATTGGAACCAGCAAGTCAAAAGGACCCAGTGAATAACAACTTGCTAAAAAAAATAATCATTTATAATCCATAGAGCCATCTGTCAGCATCAACCGTAACTAGAAATTATATGAACCCTTAAAATGGGTTCTCACCTATACAATGATCTCCAGTCACAGTAGAAATAGTGTTAAAAAATAAGTTTCTGACACCAGCATGGTGGTGTGCGCCTTTAATCTCAGTCCTCAGGAGGCAGAGGCAGGCGATCTCTGTGAGATCAAGTCCAGGCTGGTCTACATAGTGAGTTCCGGGCCAGATGGGACTACAGGGAGAGCCTCTCTCAAAAAAATAGTTTCTGTATTCGATGGTTACTATTGATTGTCAAGTTGGCAGGATCTAGAATCACCTAGCAGAAGTCTCTGGGCATGTCTGCAAGTCTCTAGATTAGGTTAATAGAGGTGGGAAGACCCATCCTAAATGCATCATTCTGTAGACTAAGGTCCTGGACTGAATAAAAACAAAAGGGAACTGAGCACCTTCATCTTCTGACTGTGAACACAGTGTGACCAGCTGCCTCACGCTCCTACCACTGTGCTGCCTCCACCATGACGGACTGTACCTTCAAACAGTGAGCCAAAAATAACTCTTCCTCTTCCTCCTCCTCCTCAAGTTGTTTTGGTTAGGCATGTTTGTCACAGCAAAGAAAACACTAATACAATGTGGAACAGAACAGATAAAGGAACTTGTCTATTTTGATACACTTAACTTTATTTTCATCTTTATGTGAATGTGTTTTAATCTATTAACCTTTCTTGTTGTCATACAATTCACATAGTATGTTTCATGGACTATTTTACTCATTTAAAATTTCTTTATTTTTATTTTATGTATATGTTTTGCCTGCATGTATGTGAGTGCACTATGTGCATACAATGCCCATGGAAGCCAGAAGAGGGCATCAGATTTCCTGGAACTGGAGTTATTGATGGTTGTTAGCTGCCATATGGGTGCTGGAAACCAAATCCAAGTCCTCTGGAAAAACAGCCCCCGTGTGTGTGTGTGTGCGCGCGCACACGCATGTGCGCATGCACACACATGGGTACAGGTGGCCCTAGAGGCCAAGAGGCACTGGATCCCCTGGGACCTGGAGTTATAGGCAGTTCTGAGCTGCTTGATGTGGTTGTTGGGAATTGAACTCTGGTCCTCTGGAAGAGCAGTCTATGATCTTAACTGCTGAACCATCTTTCCAACCTACAACATGATATTTAAACATCATTGTTGAATGGCTAAATCTAGCTAATTTCATATGTGCATTGTGTCACATAGTTAGCATTTTGTATTGAGAACACTTTACTTCTGGTATGTTAGCAGTCTTCAAAAATTCAATGTATTATTTACTGGGTTTCACCATGTGGTATAATACATTTCTTAAGTTTATTCCTACTATCTAATTGAATCATTTTATCTTTTGATCAAACTTTCCCTGCCTCCCTTTATTACTTATAAATTTTTAATAAACAGGAAAAAATGAGATAAATCAATAGATTTCAAATTCCAGTGTCTTCAAAAATATTTGTGAGCTGATTTAATTTTAAAAAAGGGGCGGGGGGACTGGAGAGATGGCTCAGTGGTTAAAAGTACTGATTACTCTTGCAGAGGATGTGGGTTCAAATCCCAGCACCCACATGGCAGCTAACAACCATCTGTAACTCCAATTCCAGGGGACCCAACACCTTCTTCTGGCTTCTGTGGGCATTGCACAACACACCTGCGCATACATGCAGACATGACACTCAGACACATAAAAAATGAAAAAAAGAAAGAAATGCTTCCTAGCACCGTGGAAACAGAGGCAAGCAGATCTCTGTGAGTTCCAGGCCAGCCAGTGAGACCCTGGCTTTAAAAAAGTCAAAAAATAGAAATACTAAGGCCACAAACTAAGAGAGTTTAATTCAGTAAATGAATTCTATGGCAGGGTCCAGTAAAGAACTACTGCGTTAGCTAGTGAAATGTGTATGCAAATATGTAAGGAATGATGTTCCAACTTCATTGTGTTTTGTCTTCACAGATTTAGTAAAGAAGGATGTCAGCGCAGAGACTTTTCTTATGTGATTGACAAGTAAGTAGTGGTTTTTACATAAGCACAGAGTCTGTGTTAATGTATAGCTAGTAGTTTGTAATCTGCTAGTGCTTGTTCATTGAATTCCCGTTGGTGACCATGTATTTGGCTTGACATGCATCAGTTTCAGCATTAAATAAGATCTGGAGACATTGTACTTAATCTTTTCCAAAAAATGCAAGAAACACATTTCTCATTGTCCCCTCTAGTTTATCTATCTATCTATCTATCTATCTATCTATCTATCTATCTATCTTTCTATCTATATCATCTATGTCTTTCAAACAAGGTCTCCCTGTAACTCCAGCTGGCTTGGCACTCACTATGTAAACCAGGCTGACCTTAAACTCACAGAGAATCCTCCTGCCTCTGCCTCCTGATTGCTGGGACTAAAGGCCTGTGCCACCACTCCCAACATAAATTAATTGAACATACAAAGCAATTCTCATTTAGTCTCATATCGGATATTATGCCTTAATTGAAGGATGACATATAAGTGCATCTATTTCCTACCTAATTCTACTAACTATAGTTAATCTAGTTAGCAGTTACAGAATTCATTTGAGTTCATGGTGAAGGATTCCATTACAAGAATAAATCTAGCAGGAGGCTGGAAAGATAGCGTAGAGGTTAAGAACCTATCTTAAGGTTAAGAAAGATAGCATCTTGCAGACGACCTGGGTTCAAATCCCAGCACTCACATGGCAGCTAACAATTGTCCATAACTCTGGTTCTAGGGGATCCAACAGTCTCTTCTGTCCTCCACGGGCATTGCATGACATGGGTGCACTTACATACATGCAGGCAATACACACATACACATAAAACAAAAAATAAATAAATAAATAAATAAAATCTAGCCAGCATGGTGGCACATGCCTTTAATCCCAGCACTTGAGAGGCAAAGTCAGGTGGATCTCTGTGAAATTGAGGCCAACCTTGTCTACATAGTGAGTTCCAGGCCAGCTGGAGCTACAGGGAGACCCTATCTCATAAAAACAAACATATCTAAATTAGGCAGTGACTGAGATTTTAAAATACACTTTTAGAGGCTAGGCAGGTGGCTCAGCAGGTAAAGTGCTAAGTTTGACCTGAGTTCAAGTTCCTAGAGCCCGTTTAAAGCCTGGCATAGTAGTGTCCATCTGTAATCCCAGTGCTGCCACAGTAAGATGGGAAGAAGAAACCAGAGACTCTTGCAGACTAGCTGGCCTGGCATACACAGTGGCAAACAGCAAAGAGAGGGTCTGAAAAAAAGATGGGAGGTATGAACCAAAACCCTAGGTTGTCTTCTGACCTCCATATGCATTCCATGGTGTATACACACCTGCACTCATATGATATGCACACATACAGACATCATACCCATACACACATCATACACACACAATAAATTAATTAATTAAAATACACATCTAGGGGGATAGAGAGATGGCTCAGTGGTTAAGAGCACTGACTGCTCTTGTAGAGGACCTGGGTTCGACTCCCAGCACCCACATGACAGTTAACAATTGTCCATAACTCAAGTTCCAGGGGCTCTGACACCTTCTGACCCCTGTGGGCATTGCATGACATGGGTGCACTTACATACATGTAGGCAATACACTCATACACATAAAATAAATAACTTTTTTTTGCCTTTAAAGACAGGGCCTCCCTATAGCCCCAGCTACCTGGAACACACTGTGTAGACCAGGTGGCCTTGAACTCACAGAGATCTGCCTGCCTCTGCCTCCCAAGGGCTGGGATTAAAGGTGTGCACCACCACACCCAGCCAATAAAATATTTTTAAAAAAATAAAATAAAACACATCTAGGAGTGGGGATACAGCTCAGTGGTAGAGTACTTGTCTAGCATGTATGAGACCCCAATGCTACCAACACACACGCACCCTACACCTTACCTGGGCATAAGGGCACACACACACACACACACACACACACACACACACACACACACACATCTATAATCCCAGTACTTAGGAAGTGGAGGCAGGAAGATTGAGGAGTTTGAGGACAGCCTGGACTACATAAGATCCTGTCTTTTCAAAAAACAACAAAACATTGTTGGTACTGATTATTTCATTTGTTAATGTTCCAGGGGGCACTGCATTGAAATAGTACAGTGAGCACAGGCTTTCTAATGACAAGTCCTTCTCACTAGCAAAGCAAGGTTTGTAGCCTTGAATAAGTTTCACACAATTTCTGAGAATGGTGCCATAGCCCCAGGTACAGGACAGGAATCTGCGCCTTGTTGGTTGTTGTGAGACTGTGTCAATGGATGTGGGGAAAAGTGTGAAAAATTCCTGGCCTGTAGGAAGCACTGAGTAGTTCTTAATTTTGTCTAATTGACTTGTGACATCTCCTAAAATAGAGTCATGCTTTCAGTTTTTAAATTTAAAAAGACGAAAGATAAGCAAATAATGAATAATGTCTTTTTTACAGGGCATATCTGAGAAATCAACCATCTAAAAACTTGGTAAGAAAGCTGTAATTTTGTCAATATGTCAACATGCACAATAACTAAAAGACTTCTGTTTCTAGAAAGTAAGATACGATTGGGGAAGATATGGCTGCCCACTGAGACTCGAATTCAAACAGAAGTTTAAACCCATAATACAACTGTAAGTATATCCATTTAAAATAATAATACATAATGCAACTGTATGCATATCCATTTAAAATAATAATACATAATGCAACTGTATGCATATCCATTTAAAAAAATTAATTTAGGGGCTGGAGATGGCTCAGCAGTTAAGAGCATTGACTGCTCTTGCAGAAGACCCAGGTTCAGTTTCCAGTACCCACACAGTGACTCACGACCATCCATAACTCCAGTTCTAGGGTATCTGACACTCTCTTCAGCCTTCTACGGGGACTGTCTCCATGTGGTGCACTTATATATATGTAGGCAAAACACTCATACACATAAAATAAAAATAAATCGAATATTTTAAAAATTTAAAAATTTAAAGTATTTAATAGACTTTTTTTTAAAGAATTGATGTGTATAAGGCTTAGTTTTCAGAATTAGTTATACAAACTTGGGCAAAGTTCCTATGTGTTGAGGGAGGTGACAGTTTAGCAGCTGAGACTTACATGGATGGGAGAGCTGTCAGCTTTTTGGATTGTTGCCCTCTCTATCCCTCCTCAGGGTAAGGATGAGTCAATAGTTTTGTGCTTTGTTGCTTTTCTCTGTGACTTTTTTCCACTCTGAGGATGGAACCCAGATTATATACAGGTTAAGCACATGCTCTACCACCAAGCTACATCCTCAGCCCCCAATTTTGTTCTTTCATTCTTAACTTATGATTGTGATAGTAAAGCCAACTGGACAGGATTTAAAATCACTATGGAAACAAATTCTGAGCATGATTGTTGAGGGAGTTTCTAGAGTAGGGTAACTGAGATAGGAAGACTCATCATAAATGTGGGTGGCATATGTTCTAGTTAGCCTTCGGTTGCTGTGACAAAACACTCTGACCAGTAGCAACTTGGGGAGGAAAGGGTTTATTTTCTTACATCTCCTGGGTCACATTTCATCATGAGGGAGCCCAAAGTAGGAACTCAGGACAGGAACCTGGAGGCAGGAGCTGAAGCACAGGCTGCTTACTGGCTGGGTCCTGTGGCCTGTGCTCAGCCTGCTCTCTTGTACAATACTGGACCACCTGCCCAGGGGTGGAACCACCCACAGTGGGCTGGGCCCTCCCACATCACTCAACAATCAAGAAAATGCCCCACAGACATGGCCACAGGCCAGTCCAATGGAGGCAGTTCCCCAATTGAGGCTCCCTCTACCCAGGTACAGTTAGTTTTCTGCAGTGATGTGGTCCATGCGAGGCCAACCATGCTCAGTACATTAAGGCACTTACTGCCAAGCCTGAAGACCCAAGTTCAATCCCCTGGACCCACATGGTGGAAGGAAAGAGAACAAACTCCAGACAGCTGTCTTCTGATCTCTACACATGTGTGCATGCACACACACAATAGATAAATAATAGGTATAATGTTCAAATGTTTAAGTTAAATGGCTTGCTAGAAAACTTAGAGAAAACAAAGACCAAATAACTTGTGCTCCTCGTTTGCTGTTGTGAATGAAATTGTAGCACGTGTCCCTTTGTGCACAGGTTTCAACACTAGTTCAGTTGTGCTGTTAGGGAAATTACTGGAAGTGAAGTCTCTATGTCTGAAACACCCACCTCTCAGTCAAGGTCCTCAGCCTGGAGGATAATTTGGGCTGAAGAGGGCTTGGAACTCTCAGGGTCGGAAGGCCATAGTGGTGGCCCAAGGACTCCAGTTTAGTTTTGCTGCCATAGCTTTCTTGCTAGGTACAGAAGGCCTCTGCCAGCATGTTTTGCCCATCACCTTCCTTCCCTACCCAGAACACTTCTAAGGTTCTACCCTGCTTCCTCTCCATCCTCCATCCCTCTCCATCCTCCATCCCTCTCTGTCCTCCATCTCTCTCCATCTTCTATCCCTCTCTATCAGGATCAGTGGTGCCATCATCCTAACCTCTCTGGTGTTGATCCTTTGTTCTTCTACTCAATCGCTAGTTTTCCTGGGCACTAAGGCTGTCTTTCCCCAAGGCTCTCCTTCCCCTACTGAGACCTGGTTTTGTGTTTGTTTCCTTGTTTTAGAATGCTTAGTCTTCCAGGAGTAAAATTAAATCAATAAAAAATAAATGTCTGTGACTGCATGCATGAGATCAAGCCAGCCAAAATCCCAGCATAGATGGGGAAGGGGCTCATGAAGTCATGCCCCCAGCTGAGGAGCTACTAGAAAGTGGTGGCTGCTGGGAGAGGTACAGTTAGTTTTCTGCAGTGATGTGGTCCATGCGAGGCCAACCATGTTCCAGTAGATGGTCCTGTACTCACACACACAGGCAGCACTAAGTGGACTCAGTGGGTTTAAAAATAGAGCACATGAAGTTGGTAGGGAAAAGTGGTGGGGGACAAGGTAGGGATTGGAGGGGAGGGAACGGGATGTACATTTGATCAATATATATGATATATATGGATTTCTTTTTATTTTATTTACTATTTTTATTTTATGTGTATGTGTGTACTGCCCACATATATGTAAGTGCACTTGTGTTGTGCAATGCCCGTGGAGGTCAGAGAGGGTGTCAGATCCCCTGGAACTGAAGTTACAAGTGATTGTTAGCTACCATGTGGATTCTGGGAATGGAACCTGGGTCCTTTTCAAGAGCAACCAGTGCTCCTAACCACTGAGCCATCTCTCCAGCCATATGTATGAAATTCTTAAACAATAAAAAGCTAAAACGAAAAAGTTTGAAATACAATAAATGTTAAAAATCATGTGTTCCCTCCCAATGAAGCACATGCTTCAGCTTTGCTTATCATTATTAAATGTCCACTTCGCAGCAAGTACTGTGCCAAATACCCACCAAGTACTGTGCCAAGCATTGGGAGTTCAAAGATCAAGAACAGTCCAAGATTCAGACACACTACATAAACACAGGAGCTGATACACCAAGCTGAATTACAGAAAGGAATGGGGTGGTTGGAATTGGAATTCAAAAGGAAAGAATCCAACCCGGCTATAAAGGAAGATGGGCTCTGGAAGATGTTCCAGGAAACTTGTGCTGGATGAAGGCTCTCTTTCCATCCTTACAGAAGAGTGGAGTGATTAAACATTTGCTTTAGCTGGATCTCTCTAGAGGATGGAATATACAGATAGACGTGTAAGTAGGAAGACCTATAACAAAAGTGTACTGGAAAAAAATGATTGGAAAAGAAACAAGGACAGAGAAGTTTATTTCTGAGACAAGTTGTTATAATCAGAGCTGATGACTGACATAAAGGTGCAAAGGGGAGGAGGATGAAGACAACAAGTCAGAGGTGACATTAATCAGAGGACACAGTTCACAAATGTCCATGCCACATCTACCGATCTTTAAGCATTTGTACCTGTGAACGCTCTGTCAACATAAATGAGCTATCTGTGTATCTAAAGGCTATCTCTCCACATATGAACCAAGTCCCCACCCCATTTCCTAATTAAGAACACTATTTCTGAACATTCCTGGCTTTCTCCTGCATCTTTTCCCTCGGTCTGCTAGATGAACAGAACCAATAGAATTAATATATATAAAAGGGATTTGTCAGATTGGCTTACTGGGTTCACCCTGGGTAGCCCAACAGTGGCTGTCTTCACACCGGAGAGGCTGAGAACCCAATAGCTGCTCAGTCCAGAAGGCTGGATGCCTCGCTTAGCCGTCTCCCAGTCTGACACCAGATTCCTAGAGGGTCACTGGCCTTCACGTTGGGAGGTCGGAGATGCTGGGTTCCGATGGTAGCAAAGGGTGGCAACAGCAGCAGTAGCTCACCAAGAGCACACAGGACAGATGAGCTCACCACCAAGGCAAGGGGGCAAAAAGCAAAGGCTTTACCCTTGGGCTCCTTACACCTGGGCAGATGCTGGAAGGAACTTTCCACCTTCAGCGTGGGTCTTCTGACTCCGATGAAGATAATCAAGAAAATCCTTCACAGGTTATCCTATCTAGATAATCCCTCACAAATGTACCCAGAGGCTTGTCTCATGGATAATTCTAGATCTTGTCGAGTTGACAAAACTCTGTACTGGATCTCTGTACTGGACCATCATGAAAATATACATTCACTGCGAAGGAACAGCAGAAAGGACCCTTTTGACCCTACTGCCGTCACCGACATCTACTCTTCTGTTCTTGCCCTGTCCCGCTCTGTTCAGATTTTATGACCACCTAACATAAAATGTAAATAACAAAAGACTTAATTAACACAATGGATCACTCATGAAGTTGAGATACGAAGATCAATAGCAAAGTCTCGGGTTCCAAAAGTGGAACCACCATAGAGATGTTACCGGTTATGGGGAAGTTAGCTGCCAACTAGTGACATTTCTGCACGTCTCAGATCTAATTGGCATTCTAATCCACACTAATGAAAATTAGCTAAAAGACGAAAGCTTGCATATGCAAGTATTTTTGACACATATTATCCATGAAGTAAAACACTACCAAAGATTATAAACACAAAAATGATGGATCATGCAATGTATATTTATAGCCACTAGATGGCACTGTAGCTCTTTGCATTAGTTGTCATGAGTCGATTGCGCTCTTTTTGTGGTTAAATAGAACTTGGCTTTGCAACTAACTTATTTGTTGCATTTACTTTATCACCTATCTATCTCGTGTGTGTGTGTGTGTGTTTGTGTGTGTGTGTGTGTGTGTGTGTACACATGTGAAGGTTAGAAGACAAATTGCAGAATAGGTTCTCTCTTTCCACCATGTGGGTTACAGGGATCAGGTCAGTCAGCCAGGGCTGTTACCCACTGGGCCATCTCACCTGCCCTTAATTCTTAGTAATTTCAAGAATTCCATAACTTGCACAAGATGGAATCAAAATCCTGCTGGTATTTGAGCTTGGCTCCTCATGAAACTACAAAATTCCTTGTGTCCAAAGCATTTTGCTGTGGAGAGGGTCCAGAGCTCTCACAGGACTTTTTGAATTTTCTGTTGTCCTCCTCACCCAGCAAGAGGTTGACGGGGTCCTCCATCCCCGACCTCTTTGAGTGCTGACCTTCTCAGTTCATCTTTTTATGATTTCTCAAAACTAGTGAGCACAGAAATAAAATTGCTTCTCAGCTTCTATTTAACACTTAAAGTTTTCCTACCCAACCTGTGAAAATGGGACAATAGCTGATTCTTATAAACAGTTCTGGATAGCAGCAAGTTACAACAGACCCAAAAACCCAGGTTCAGTAGCCTCTGTGAAGCAGAGATCTGGGCAGGGAACAAAGAGACACTGTCAAGGACCAGAATTTTTTTGTGAGACAGAGAGCTGGTAAGACAGAATTTGTATCAAAAAGTAGAACAGCAGTTCAAGAATCAGCAGCCTAGAACCAAGTACGTGAGGCCACGGTCTTCAGTGAAATCGCCACCCAATGGGATGATTTCATTCAGAAATAGGAGTAATAAAGTGCAGGGCATGGTGGCACAGGCCTGTGATCCCAACACTTGGGAGGTGAAGACGGGAAGATCAGGAGTTCAAGGGCAACCTCAGCTACATAGTAAGTTTGAGGTCAGACAGTCTGGGCTATGAGAGCCTGTCTCCAAAAAATGGGGAGGGGGACAGAGGGAGGGAGAGAAGGAGGGAGGGAGAGATGAGAGAGAGAGAGAGAGAGAGAGAGAGAGAGATGATAACTAAGAAAACCATGCAACCATTTTTACGGTTATAATTTCTACAATGCAAAAGAATTTATCAATAGCTCTTTGCTCTCAAACATTTATTTTTATATGATAGAGAAAAATTACCCTAATATAAAGTATCAAATCTCTTTAAAAACTCGCCCTGGGTCTGAGGGAAGTACTCTCGGCTTGGTGGGACTCGGGTATCCTACCCCAGCATGAGGAGAAGGGTGACCTGTCCACATAGGAATCCACAAGTCTCTACTGTTGGTGGAAGTCATCTTCCTTTCTCTGAGCATGGGCTGTTGGAGACCACTCTGTTTCCCAGCCCCTCCTCAGCTCTTCCCAATGCTGCTGACGCTTCAAGACTCAGTCCCAGTCTTCTGGCTGGCCCCTCCAGGGAAGTCAGCAACAGCTCCATCTTCATTAGAGTAAAGCTAAGGTTTCACCGTCTGCCACATGACGGACAAGCAATGAGTATGTGTTGATTTAATGACCCCAGGAAATCCTTGCCTTGTCCGTCCATTCCTCACATCCTGCTGCCTTTCTTCCTCTAATGTCTGCGTCATCAGGCCCCCATCTCATCAATATGTGGCCCCTATCAAAATGAAGACACTTAGGTTTCCAAATTTTCTTCTTCACTATTAGGTTTTAAAAAAAAGTTTTATTTGTAATATTTTCAATTATATGTCAGGGGAGGGGAGTATATGCACGTGAGTTCAGGTGCCCTTGGAGGCCAGAGGGGTCAGATCCCCTGGAGCTAGACTTATAGACAAGTATGAGCTTACTACAATGTGAGTGCTGGGAATCAAACTTGGATTCACCGCAAGAGCAACAAGAGCACTTAACCACTGACTCATCTCTCCAGCCCCCACTATTAGGTTTTCATTTTGAATAACATCTGTTTGGGGCTGGACATGGTGGTGTATGCCTGTAATGTCAGTTCTTAGGAGATAAAAACAGGAAGATCTGAAGTCAAGGCCAGACTTGGCTACATATCAAGTTCAAGGGTTCAAGATGAGCCCAGGCTACATGAGATCCTATATGAAAATAAAAACCCCAAAATCTATTATTTCACTCAGCTGAAAAAAAATAGACATATCTAGTAGGAACAAGGAAATTGAGAGTTCTGAGCCGGAGAGATGGCTCAGCAGTTAAGAGCACTGGTTGCTCTTACAGAGAACTGGGGTTCAGTTCCCAGCACCCAATGGTAGCTAACACCTGTCCAAAACTCCAGTTTCAAGAGATCCTACACTTTCTTCTGGCCTCCAAGGGCATTGTACACATATGGTGAACCTATATGCAGGCAAAACACTCACACACATAAAACGAATTATAAAAAGAAAAGAACATTGAGAGTTCAAAAGTTCAAGTAACTTCCCCAGGGTCACAAAGCTAATAAAAGATAAAGACTGGGTGTCACCATTGTGGTGGGCAGAATCCCAGCACTTGGGAGGTGGAGGCTGAGGTCCAGTTCAAGGTTATCCTCTACTGCTTAGTAAGTTTGGAACTATCCTGGGTTATATGAGATTCTACATCAAAAAAAAAAAAAGGCCAGGCACGGTGGCACCCGCCCTTAATCCCAGCACTTGGGAGGCAGAGGCAGGAGGATCTCTGTGAGTTCAAGGCCAGCCTCATCTACATAGTGAGTTCCAGGACAGCTGGGGCTACAGGGAGACTCTGTCTCAAAAAGACCAAAAAAAAAAAAAAAAAAGGATTTAGCCTAAGCCTAGCTGACGTGCAAGCTCCAACTACTCTACTTCACACTCAACTGTTATTTTTGTGGGTGTTTTTTCAGATTTGATGACAATGGCTTCATTAAAGACGTTGAAGCCAATTTCATCGTGTGGGAAATCCACGGAAGGAACGACTACAGCTTCAACACCACCATGAAGCAGGTAGGACATGTTTGAATTTAAACAGAACTTAGCATGCAATTTGATATGTCTTTCGGTTTTCAATCTACATGGAAAATTGAACCAAGCTGTGACAGGAAAAAAATCAACCTGATATAAAATTTACTTAAAAAAAGAAGACTTTGTCATAGAAAACAGCTGTAAGAAAAAATAAAAATAAAATAATGGGGGCTGGAGAGATGGCTCAGTGATTAAGAGCATTAACTGCTCTTCTAGATGACCCTGGTTTGATTCCCAGCACCCACATAGCAGCTGACAACTGTCCATAATTCCAGTTCCAGGGGATCTGACACCTGCTTCTGGCCTCCGCAGGCTTTGTACTTCACAGGCAAAACACTCATACACATGAAATAAATAAAATATTTTTTAAAATGGCTGGGCTTGGTGGCGCACGCCTTTAATCCCAGCACTCGGGAGGCGGAGGCAGGTGGATCTTTGTGAGTTCAAAGCCAGCCTGGTCTACATAGTGAGTTCCAGGACACCTGGGGCTACAAGGAGACCCTGTCTCAAAAAGACAAAAAAATATATATTTTTAAATAAATAGATAAAATGATGGGGGCTGGAGAGATGGCTAAGTGGTTAAGAGCATTGACTGTTCTTGCAGAGGACCCCAGTTTGATTCCTAAAACTCACATGGTAGCTAACAACCGTCCAGTTCCAGGGGGATCTGATGCCCTCTTCTGACCTCCATGGGCAGAGGACCCGAGTTCGATTCCCAGCACTCATATGGTGGCTAACAACCAACTCCAGTTCCAGGGGATCTAATGCCCTCTTCTGACCTCCACAGGCATTGCACAACACAGGTGCACTTATGTAATATGCAGGCAATACACTCATACAAAAAAAATAAAAAATAGGCCTGGCATGGTGACGCACACCTTTAATCCCAGTACTCAGGAGGCAGAGGCAGGTGAATCTCTGTGTG